CTGCGCTATAGAACCCCTTGGCACAGCCTAAGCTTGCACTTTTTTCCTCTTTACCATTGATATACATCACAATAATTGGCAAATGTTCAAATATGCAAATTAGGAGAAGAAATCATTTAGCAACTTTTTTTTACTGAACTTGCAACAGCTGTTTGAAATCCCAGATCAAAACTTGAGAGTTTGTGAATAACTGACTCAGTTAGCTAACAGCATAAATAAAGCCACTGCACCAAGCTTTGACAATATAGCTGTAGTTGGTGATGTGCATAGATGACGATGGGAAATATATAAGGTCTAATGTATCAGGTCATAACATTTGATTTATTTATTYAAAAGGTCACGTCAATCAATATTCAAAATAATTTAAATATGCCAGAGTTAGCACATTGGCTAATTTATTCATTTTAAATATTAAATTAGAGATCTTATTCTAGGTGGGCRTCATTCCTGACTTTGATTTAGAGCTTTTAAGTAGAAAGTCAGAATGCTGAGTTAGCTGATCATGCTAGTTYTGATTAGTGAGGTGAAAATAACCACGTCTTCTGGTTGAAGGTGAGCTGTTGTTGCTCAATGAAGAGAGAAACTCTGAAACAGGCTGGTTGAACAGCAAGAATCTTTATTTTGCAGTCCAGGAGATTACAGCCAAAAACCAAATTGTGGCCTTCAAACCAAATGATTCASCAAGTAAGGAAGATGAAGAACAAAGGCAAAGAGCAGGGGCGTACAAGGCTCTTTATAGTGTAGTCCAACAGATGCACCATAAATTTTGTCACGGTATACCTTCTTCCTAATATGGTCATATGTGCCGAGCTCTGAAGCTGGAAAAACCAAGAGACATCACATCTGTGCATTCCTGAGAAGAGGCCCCCCCACTCTTAGACACTACATTAGCACTACAGACAGYCAATACACAGCTGTATTTTTCAGAGGTGTCTAAAGTATTCACATTCATTACTTAAGTAGAAGTACAGGTATTAGGTTTAAAAATACTTTTTTTGGAAGTAGAAGTATCAACTCAAGCTTTTTACTCAAGTAAAAGTACAAAAGAACTGGTTTTAAAACTACTTAAAGTATAAAAGTAAAAGTAATGAACACTTAAAAAAAGCAGTACTACTAGAACTACAAATCAACTTAGATCCACATTATGTAAATACATTTAGTGAGAATATTAAAGAGGCATGCAGGACGAGGTGAAGAAGTGAGTCAAATGCAGTCGGTGCAGTGATTTATTTTCCTCTCTGCTCTGACTGCAGCTGCTGTTGCTGCAGAGGCTTCAGAAATAGACTGGTAGTGAGCAGACCTGCTTACACACCTGTCCAGTGAGGAAAACTTGAACTGAACATTGGTTTTTCTTCAAAAAGTGTGTGCAWTACCTGATGGTGTGTGCACATCACAATGTCACAGTCAGAGTGAGACTTAGTCCTGGTTATTTACCAACACTGTAAAAACCTGCCAAACAACCTCTGCCCTTCAAGGTTTGCAGTTGTGAGCACAGCTAACAAAAGAAGTTAGCTTCACTAACCATCAATCTGCTAACCAAAAATGTTAGCTTTACAAATGCTAAACCACTAAGGAAATTAGCAGGAGCCAGTGATAACTGACCGTTAATCTTATCTACAGAACCAGAATCTTGGCTAAAGCTCATGAAAAACACTCAAAACCCCGAGCAGTTGAATTGACAAGTAAACAAATTGCACAAAGTGACGTTTAGCGTAGCTAGAGTTAGCAGAGCTAAATTTAGCTGAAGCTAATTGATTTGCTAAYGTTTAAGAAATGAGCAGATTAGCAGAATTGTTCCCTCGCTGATAATTTGAAGCCAATTGGATTTTTTTTTAACACTTTGTTGTTTTCTTCAGGTTTTTCAACGGTTTCAACTCCACTTTGAATGTAACAATGGACGGTGAGGACTCTGGGGAGATCGTCCACAACAACATGTCTTTATATGCCAACGTACCACACGGAGCGTAAGTTTTATTTCTTTTACTTCAAGCACAGTTTGAGTAAAAACCTAGACTAGAATGATGGTGGTCAGAGGGTCCGGTGGTGCCGGTGCATGGCAGCCCCRCCTCTGTCAGTGTGSCCCAGGGCAKCTGTGGCTACAGTGTAGCTTATCACCATCAGTGTGTGAATGTGTGTAAGTGTAAAGCACCTTGGGGTCCAAGTGGACTTGATAAGGTGCTTTATAAGTTCAAGCCATTTACCATTTAGAGTTTTTGTTTCCACAGAGCTAAGTTCATCATTAAGGACATGTCTGGAAGGGAGTGCACCCTGAATCGAGAGCTGGGCTTTGGCAGCTCTTTCACATTTTTCATCCTGAGAAACTTCACGTTTGGAGAAAATGTAACYGATGAATCCATTTTAAGTCAGTTTTACAGTGTGACTGTTTGGATGTAAACTAACTCTTGTGGCGTCCGTACTGCAGTGTGCGCAGAACATACAGGAAGTGAAGGACATTGAGCCCAACTCAGTCCACATGGCCTGGCAGATTCCCCAGTACTTCCTCATGACTTCAGGAGAGGTGGTCTTCTCAGTTACAGGCTTGGAGTTCTCCTACTCACAGGTAAAGTAGAAAACATAAAAAACTCACATTTGTCTAGACATCAGATTAAATACAGACGATGAATATAAAAAGTCTTATTTTAATGTGATAAATCCATGTTTTTCTGCTGTCCAGGCGCCCTCCAACATGAAGTCTGTGCTTCAGGCTGGTTGGTTATTAACTGTTGCTGTAGGAAACATCATTGTGCTCATTGTTGCAGAGGCAGCAACACTTCCAGAACAGGTGGGTGAATGTTGAYTCTATGTGACAGTGTGCCAAAACATTAGCTTCACAAACCGCCAATGCGCTAACTGCTAACTGAAGGTCTGTCATTTTAAACAGACGTCTGGTATCCACAGAGATGTTAGAGTCTTGGCTAAAARCTCATTAACCTCCTGAGACCCGATTCTTTTCTGTGCATGTTTTCTTTCTCTAAGATACATGGGATTAGTAGGACCTAATAAGTGTAATAACTAGACCCTGTCATAGTACAGGAAGTGAATTTGCAAAAAAAAAGAAAAAAAGATGTCCTCATATGAGGACACTGGGTCTCAAAATGTTACGCTTTTTGAGGAATACCTAAGCAATTGCCATGCAAAACTCGAGAAACTTCATGATAGTCTTTCTGGTGGTTCCATTTTCCTAGTTACTTTGGCAATACAGCAGCCAGCTGTTGACCAGAGCAAGATTAGTGAAGCGCATCATCATCATCCTCATCCTCATCGACAACTTTCAGATTGTTCTTCAGTTTGAAGAACATATTACTTGACGTAATGGCAGGAAATTGCAGATCATTTGACCTGACCATCATTGGTATAATTAATTGGTTGAACAAATGTATCRTCACTTGTAAGAACTATTTGTACTTGTGAACTGTTCTAAATATTTCCAGGTTTGTTTGACAAAGATTTGTGACAAGATATACCACTTACACTAACTATTTACATTTGTAAACTGTTCTAAATATTTGCAGGTTTGTCCTACCTCATGGCACAATTAATAATGAAATTATAGTCCCAATGTCCTCAAATAAGGACTTTATCTTTACCGACATTGTACTTTGCTTCAGTTGTAAAAAATGTTATTTTTGCATGTCTTGTGAAGCTAAAGATGTAACTATGCATAAATATGCCGGTTTCAAGCGTGAAATGTAACTTGGATTTTTACTTTGGCCATTTTTCTTACCAGAGTTGTTGTAGAAGCTTTTCACTGGGATCCCCGCCATCTTGTTTTCACTCAAATGAGTGTAATATTGCCATGGAACCACTAGAGGGTGCTGGTAGTGTCCATTAATGAGGACAGTGGGTTAAAGTTTAAAAAAATGATGCGTCGTGGGTAGAGAGGTAAAAATGCAATGTCCACATATGAGGACGCAGGGTCTCAGGAGGTTAAAAGCCTTTTAAGGCTGCATCCTTCAAAGACCAAATTTTTTGGTCGCTTAAGTCACAGCGCCTTTATTTTTGCTTCTGTTTAGAGTCATCACAGTTTTGGTCTTTGCGGTCGAAAAAGGACCTGGCACATTCAGACTAGCCTTTAGCTCGTCAATCAAGTTGGACTTAAACTCTAAAAATGATTTCTATCTATAGCTTTTCCACAGCTACTTCAAAATGACCTAATCCCATTTAATAGCAGTTAGAACACCTCCAGCAATCCAAGCTCTCATATTTGATGACCCAAGTTGTTAAATGTTAGCGAGGAAGTTTCAGCTCATCTGTGAAAGAGCATCTCTTGTGTGTCATTCTGTTTTCCAGTGGGCCGAGTACATCCTGTTTGCCTCGCTGCTGGTGGTGGTGTGCATCGTCTTCGCCATCATGGCCATGTTCTACACCTACACTGACCCGGCCAAGATAGAATCAGAGTTCGCCTACCTGGAGCCCGAAGACAAGGAGAAGAAGAATTTGGAAATGGCAAAGAAGGATGTGGTTCCGAACCATTATGAGACCAAGAGGAAGAGCTCCGATTCCAGCGCTGATGAAAACATCAAGAGTAATACGAAGTTCTGAGTGGAACGCTGCCGGGTTCTGTTGGTACTCATTTATTAACTGGTCTGTTGATGGTGGAATACACTGAAGGAGCTGAAGGCGGAAGACAGAGTGGAAACTCTGAGTGGACAGTGTTTGTGAAGGATTTTAGTAACAAAGATAATGGAGATTGTTTCGATCGTTCTCATCGTTCTAAATCTGAAGATGATTTTTTTTATTAAGTTTTCCTGTAAAACTCAAACTCTGGCTTTTTATTAGCTGGTAATTTATGTTTTGATTAATTTGTCTTTGCAACTAACAGTAATTTTTGTTCTTATTAAATGCTGATGTGCAATTTCAAGTGGTGGGCACAGCTAACCTTTTGCTAACTCATAATCTGTTTACTAAAAATATAGCTTCGCTAATGGTAAAGATGTAAACATTAGAAAAAGAAATAGCGGATGCTAAAACTAACAGCTAATCAACCATTCTGACTGTCACTGAGTCTGTCTCCTTCCAGCTGCAGACTGGTGGGACTGACACAAACCTGTTGATGTTAGCTTGTTAGCGGACTTAAAGTTGTCAAAACCTAATTTAGTAGAAGCTAACAGATCTGCAAATGGCTTTGAAAATGAGTGGAAAAGCTAATCAACTAGACAAAGACTAGCTCCTCTATTAGCTACCAGCTGATTAACAGGACAGTGCCCACCACTGGCAATCAAAAAACAATCCATTACTTGTATTTATTTCCGAGCTCAGTATTGTATGTGTTGTTGTACAGTTACGGCTGCCTTATAAAAGTGACAAACATCTGCTGGTGGTAATATTTCAACACTTAAGGCTGCTCAGTCAGCTAAAAAGAGTTGAACAATTCATTTAGGCCCAGGAGAAAGCTGTTGTGTAAAGTCTTTGATAAATGAGGGGCTGTCTGTCTGTGACGGAACAAAGTGGAGTTAAATAAATGTTAAAGCTAAAATGTTTACAAACAAATCTGTTTTTTGTGGAACTTTAAATGTTTAAGAAAATACACTTTTTTATGGTCTTGAATTTTGAATGATTAGAACCAACCATCCACCTCCTAACAGGTTTGAGCATTTATCAACTTTCCCAGTCTTTTGTTGCCCCAGTCCAAGATTTTTTGGAACGTGTTGCTGGCATCAAATTCAAAATTAATATTTGCAAAAAAACAAACAATAAAGTTTATCTATTTGAACAATATTTTGTCTATGTAGTGTATTTAATTGAATATTGTAGGGGTCACCTCGAGTGAAGAAACAGGAGTTCCAGCCTCAAAGCAGGCCTCGCACAGGCCTGAGAACTGGCAGGAACGCTGAACTCTTATTTTAGGCCATGACGGGTCATTTCAACCTA